CAGAGAGTGAAATCAATTTTAGGCAATCACCAATTGAAAGTGTTTTGAGACAAATCAAAGTCGAAAACCACTCAGGAAGCTCCTCAAGATTGACACATTTGATAGTTACCAAGGATTGCAATGTGTTTGAAGATCCTCAAAACCAGTGAGGCAAATTGACCAGTTGCGGTAAATCACTAAGAATAAGTAACTTTAATTTCAAACAGGGAATATTTTCGTCAAGTTCTTTTGACAATTCCAACTTATGACAGCTGAAAATAGCCAAACTCTCCAAGTTTGGAATGGCATGAAATGGCAAAGACTTTAGACTCCCACAAGAAAAAATAATAAAAAATTTAAGACTAGGAAGTTGTATCCCTTCAAATAATGACTTCAGGTTGTGGCAAGAATCCAAGGATAAAGTTTCTAAAGAAGTCCATTTTGCAATCTCTGGAAAACTAGATTGCTTAAAGGTTAAATACAACTGGCGAAGGTTGATCAGGTTCTCTATGCCTTTGGGCAACGCTTCTAGGCTTTTGCAATCATCGAGTCGTAAAACTTGCAAATTCTGGAGTTTGCACACTGAATCTGGGAGTCTTGAAAGTTCTGTATTATTTTGAAGAATGAGACATCTTAAATGTTTCAACTTACCAATGGAGCTAGGCAAACTCTTGTATGCAGAATAACTTATATCCAGAAACCGCAAGTATTTGCACCTGGACAACAATGAATTCAAGGAAGCTTCATTGTTGGCTCCATGAGGAAAAATAATGGTTCTTAGACCTGTAGGAAAGGAAGCTTGGCCAAGCAAACTGTCTTCAGCAAATGACAAATGTTGGGTACTTTCAGATATATTTTGACTGCGGGATTTCACGCGCTGAAACTCATCTTTTGAGACATATAGTGCAAGATCATGCACCAAATCATGTAACATGAACGTGCAAGTAGTACCAAAATCAGTAAAATCTTGAAGAAAAGATCTCGAGCGCAGCTCATGCAAAATATGAGTGCAACTGTCTTCCAATGTTTTATTTTGCATTGATGATGGAAGGAAACCAAGTGCCTCCCAAAGCGCAGAAACATCAAAACTACTAATAATAACATCCTTATCAAAAAGGGAGAAGCAAGAAAAACATCGTTTTAAATAAGAAGGTAATTGATCATAGCTTAATTTGAGTGCCGGCAAAATGTCATCATTATTTTGAGGTAAATTCCAAATCTCATTGTCTCTAACAAATGTCCACTCTTCTTTATCAACTTTCAAGAACAGTGAACATCCCAAAGTTCTCACTGCCAACGGAAGCCCTCGGCATTTCTTTGCAATTTCTTTCCCAATCAACAACAATTCTGGATACTTCTTCTCTTCTCCTTCTTGGAAAGCCCATTTGATGAACAGAGTCATGGAATCCACTTCAGAAAGACCTTCTAAAGGGTAAGAGTACGAGGGTTTAGTGCCCATCATGGCAGCAATGGAATGGCTACGAGTAGTCACTAGGACTTTACTTCCTTTGGCACCTATTTGTATTAAACCCTTCAACTCAACCCATTTAACACGATCCTCATTCCACACGTCATCCAAGACAAGCAAGAACTTTTTACCATCAAGCATATTTCTCACATGATTTTTTAGCTGCTCCATCTCAAGGTCCTTATAGTTCTCTTGATTCAGGTTTGGAGCAGAGTTGAGGATCTTAATAAGCATGTGTTTGGGTTCAAAATCGTCAGACACGCACACCCACATCTTCAACTCGAAAGACTTGTCAATACCGTCATCATTGAAAACTGTCTTTGCAAGCGTGGTCTTTCCCAAGCCTCCAATTCCCACAATGGGAATAACAGAGAGACTTCCACCATCATCGTCTTGCAACAAAAGTTCAACGATCTTTTCCTTATCCTGCTCCCTTCCTATCACATCAGAAGCATTTATGTGGGAATGGGTCAATTCCCTCGTATGCACGACCCGCGTATCAACATCATTGGTTTGGAGGCCATAGTTGTTCCTATCAGTTGCAATCTTGTTTAATCTCTTATTGATTTCTTTAATCTCATGTGCCATTTTAAGACGATATGTGAGAGAATTAGAACCTGAGAAGAAGCGGAGTACCTTCTTGGACACGCTGCCCTGAGTATTAACAACATGCTTTCGCAACGCTTCACACTCAAAGTCATCGACGATGTCTTCGGCGTGGTAGAGCACGTGCTTGATCTGCGTGAGCCATTGACGCAACTGGTTGTTCTGGTGCTGCTTTTGCTCTGCATCCAACAGCACGGCTTTGATGAACGAGATAGTCTGTTTCATCTCGCGTAGATCGTCACACACACCCATTGCCAGAGAAGCTTCTTCCATGGCACGGGAAGCAAGCTTCCCTATGAGTGACTCTGCCACGCTGAAGAGGACTGATTCAGCCATGGTTCCGGGGAAAGAACAGAGATCAGAGATCAGAGGTAGGAATGCAATGCACTTGGGGATTGATTATAGTTTGTGCCACAAGTGCAAAGAGGAATCATATTTATACAGGGTCTAGTCAATGGCCAACTATCAAGTCTTTCTTTATTAGCAATAATTGGCAAAAACTTGTTTATGAATTAGATATAATATTAAAGGGCAGCAACTAGAAAATAAAGTAGTAATTAATTGCGACAGCCTTTAAAGCAACTTGCCAATAAACTACAAATTATCAATCTCGTGATACACAAAATTGTTAAGTGGGCATAAGTAATAGTGACTAACCTTTCACATGGCAAAACGTGGATCATCTAACGGCCTTTAGTTGGTGACTGGATTTTCTTATGGCAGCAACTGTGTTGTGTCCGTTAATTATGCACTTTGCGCCAGCATGCGGATCAACCCCTACAATTTTTTTTTTTTGACAGAATGATTCATTTAAAAGATCATCGTATTTTCATTACTGTTTCAAATTTAGCCTTACATAATTTTATTTTAATTTCTAAAAAAATTAATTAGTTTTATTTTTGTATAAATATTTTTAAAATTTATCCAAATTAATATAAAGTATAGTCAATGGTTAACTTATAATTTTTGTAAAATATCTATGATAATTGTAGTTGTGCAGTAGTTTCGTCGCAATTTTAATGGGCAAGTTGCTTCTTGTCACCCTAAAAATATTTACTAATAATCTTCTATCATTGATTAAGGGAGAAAGAAACATGCATTAGGAAAAATTCATAAATGAATATTTTTTTAAAAATAATGATGAACTTTATTTTCTATAAAACTATATTAAGTGTACGAGGCTTTGCTTCTCTCGAATAAATTTTTTGATAAAAAATAAAACACACTATAAAATATTTTGAGAAATGATTCATTTTATATAAATTGTGAGCTTTGCACCGTAAATAACACATTTGTGTAGACTAATTGCTACTATTTTGCTCATACTTTAATCTAATTGAAAATTTCTAATGTTTTTACGTACAATTCACCACTATTTCAAATTAATAAAGGTGTTTAGAAATTATTAAATCAGATAGACCATCCCATTAAATCAGATTTAGAGGCTACAACTAAAACCAAGCTAGTTTTTAAATCTAGATTTTTAATAAAATCAAATGTTTAGTTGTAAATCTGGATAAAATAATAAGTGCTTGTTTGATTTAGTTTTGATTTTTAATTTTTAAAACTTACATTTTAAAACAATTTTATAAAACTATTTTTAGAAAAAAATAATTGTTTTATAATTTTTAAAACTGAAAATAAAAAATTATTTTTAAAACTTATGTTAACAAACTTCTCTTTCATGTTGTGTCATATACACTCCACGTGGTTTCGCATGAGCAACTCTATGTTCCCAATTAACAAAGCTCAATTATCACCCTTACGTTAGTAATTAAATATAAATTTAAATATCACGCTGACGTTAGTAATTAGCTACAAGTTAGAATTGTAAACTTGTATGCGACTTTGAGTTTACTCAAAACTTGACAATTATCAGCATTAACAATATATGTTTTTCAAAGTTAAAGTAAGGCTGATCAACATTCATGATTCATGAACACCATCTCAGATACTTGCTTTGAAAGTCCACAGAAGAAAATTTTTTCATATGGTTGTAGACTAAAAGGATATAATGCAAGCACCAGCAGCCCAATAATGAAGCCAAGCTGCATGATCAAATTATGCAAGATAGGTGAATTAAGAAAATGAATAGCTAAGTAAATAATATGAATGGTAAACAGTTGAGGTACCAGCAACACTTGAGACAGATGTGATAACCTTTTTGTAATCCCTTGTTGCGAATGCACTTGCAATAATAGCCTGAGAAGAGTCTTTTTCTATGGTCAATGTTGCTTGAATGTACTAAAAGGAACATATTTTTGAGTAAATAAAATCGTCTCAAGTGAAGATTGATACATAAATGACAATAGATATCACAAGCAAAGCATGAGAATGTATGCAATTAATGATGATTCTGGGACAAATACTACGCTGAAGCATGTTGAAACTCCCTAAATGTAATCACATAGGAAATTGACAACGAATGATGTTGGAATGCAAAGTAACTAATAAATCTAGAATGTGACCTATGCGCAATTTGAGTAACATAAGTTTTTGTGGAGAAGAAAATTAATATAAAAAATAAATAAAACTTATTATAAATTAAAAACAATTTATATCCTTTTGTTTTGGAGAAGTTAAATTACAGAACTTCTAAGAAAATAAAAAGGCATAAGTTTATTTTGACTTATGGGAAGAGTTTGATTCATTTTACTACTTAATAGGCAATGAACAGTTTTGGCATGTGATTTAACTAATAAATCTGGAATGTGACTTAATAGTTAAGTCTGCTTCATTTATCTAGTTCTCAGAGATGATACTAAGCCATATATGTGCTGAATGTAGTTACTCTGCTAGTTACTTCTTCTATAAATGCATATATTCATTTCCTTGGATGTTCACTTATAATAAATCTTGAGTATTAGAGGTCATTTGATTTTTAGATTTAGAAAAATATTTGTGCTTAGAAGGTGAGCCTTGGCCCCAACAGTAAGATTGTTATCCTGGTCAAATTTCGGAAAAAGCGTCTCTATTTGCAAAGATTAGGCTATATACATTTACCCACCCCAAACCTAACTAGGTTGGAGGCTGATGTACCAGTTCCTCCGTATGTAGCAAAATATTTGTGCCTGAAAACAAATAGCAATTCTTCATCCCAACCATCTAGGTTGCAAAAGTTACGTTTTCATAAAGAATCATTTTCTTTCTTGTCCAGCAACAGCCAATCCATCAGCAAGCAGGAAGTTGCCATCCATATGTGTAAGCATATCTGAAATGCAGCCATTGTTGTTGATCCTTGTCTTGCTGCCAGGGATGCTGACAAGGTAACACAGAGTCAAGCTGTAACTTTAACTAATAACAGAACATGCAACCAAGGGAAGAAAACAAAGTTATAAATTTGTTTTTAAGGACATATCAACATATTTTTTTTGTTTAGGAGTTATATCTAGGAGGAAAAGAGAAGGTTCAGTGGAGTTATATTCAAGAACATATCAACATATTTACCTAAGAGAGATTAATCAAATTCAAGCAGTAGTAGCAAAACAAATTTTTGGAATCTCACGAAACAGTCCTTTCCCCTGAAATTTATGAAAAAACAAAAGAAACTATTCAGATTCAGATAAAAAAGCCCCAAAAAAATTAAAAATCAACGCATAACAGACAATATTAATAAATGAGAACTGCCAAATAAGTGTCTGAAATAAGTAGTGAGCTTCTAGATCATCAATAATTCAAAAGAAATGTATAAATAACGTTAGCAAAAAAATTGTTATAAGATAGACATTTGTTTAAGCAAAAGAACAACTTATTTCATTAAACTTCACGATAGCGTTACATCAAATGCTCACTAATATAATTTCATAAATAACTGAAATGAAAAACAAAAGGGCAACATGACTTCTCAGTTGGAATATCAAGTCTGTAATGATGCATAGAAAATGAAAAATAAATATCAAAGATAAAGAACAGGGTCAAGAAGTTTGAAGTTTGAATTATAACAACAACTAGAATGTACAGATCTAAACCCTAAATCCTAAACAATTATTATCTAATTCATCTCCACTAATCCACTGCGTTGTATCCAGATTTGATTCAAGACGTTTGAATTATAACAATAAATAGAATGTACAAATTGCTAATAAATTCTTTTTGCTTTTAACTTAAAGAATAGAAAAACAACTTTCCGTGTCAACAATTTTTTTTTCTCCCTTTCATAGCATCATTGTTATTGACTGAGAATGTGGGCAATCAAGTCAGGCCATAAATATAAACTCAGTGAGTGATAATCCCATAACAAAAATGTCTCTGAGGTACACTTGCTCATTTAATGGAATTTATTAGAAACTAAGTGAGTGAAACTCATTAAATCACAAGTAAGAACCACGTAATTTCTGTGATTTTAATAAAATTTAACTACTAACAAAGCTTGTTTGAAAAGTGTGTTAAAAAGTACGCTTCATATCCTAATCTTAAAAACATACTTAATTCTTGAAATTACAATCTCTAAGCAATTTTCTATTCACACAGAGGAGATTAAATAATTATAAAAATAATTTGAACTAATTTAAGATAAGAAATTTTTTTAAAAAAATTATTAGTTTTTAGAATGAAATTTTTTTTAAAATTATTAGAAAATAGAAATCTGAATTTTAAAAATATTGCTTTTTAGAGAAAGAAAAATATATAATTTGTGTATTTTTTGAAAAAAAAGTTAAAGAAAAGAATAGCAATAAATTAATTTTTTTTAAAATTTATTGCTATTTTTTAAAGCATAACAATAAATTAATAGTTTTAAAAAATATATAATAGAAAAAGTATAGATACAAATCACAGCTATCTTTTAGATTTTTTTTCAAATTAAACACCTTGGCAACCAAACAACTCGTTTCATAAAATTACTCTCCAATAGCATCAAGGAAACCAAGTACCTACGAGTAATTAGGAAATATTTACCTATGATATTTCAAGTTCCCAGAAAATTCAAAATTCATTTAAATTTCTTGCGAGTATCTGTCTTTGTATTTTTATTAACTTTTAACCACATTCCACTCAACATGTTGTAGAGTTCAAATTAAGAAACAATAATTTTAATATCAATTGAAAATTAATATACAAAAAAGATAAAGGAAAGACAGTATAAAACAATGGTTCCAAAAATTCATCAAATTATATAAGATTATAATTCATCAAAATACATCATCAAATGATCCAAGAACAATTTTCAATAATAGCATAATTAACAAATTCTTCTAAATTTATTTAAAACAAATATTATCATATTGAAATATAATGCAAAAAAAGCATTTTTTTTAGAGTTGAATAATGTATCAAATTCAAGTTAAATAGGATTTTTTATCTAAGTATCTATTCTTTATGTATATTCAATTAAAAAATAAATTGAGACACTATTAAAAATAATTTACTACAATCAACAAAGGTTAATTTGAGTGTCAAACGAACTCAGTATCGCTTAAGTAAAGTTTGTAAAATATCTTCAGTGTTAAACTCACTTACTACATCTAAAGTTTGACTAAAGGAAAAAGGTAAAACTGGACAAAAGGAAGAAGGTAGAACTAGATCCGGATGATCCATAGATAGAGGAAACAAGTTGAAACAAAAAGCATCAAGAAATCTGTATATAATGCGGAAAAATAATTGCAAAATGGACAAAGAATTAGCAAATATATAATATTAAATGTAAACAATAAAATCACTTCCTCCAGAATGTAAAAAGGAAGTCATCTAAATAACAGCATTACAAAAATCTTAAGACAAAAATTGTACCTTCACACTTTTGACTAATGTTATCTGAGAATTACTCTTCCTCTTCACGTTGACGAAGGATAACTTGTTTGACATGTGATATTTTGTGCCAATCCTCTCCGACATTCGGTTGGCATCTTTTATATAATTCAGGACAATATTCAATTTCTAAATATTCAAGCTTTATCAGGTGATGCATGTTATCAGAGAGTGAAATCAATTTTGGGCAATCACTAAATGAAAGTGTTTTGAGACAAATCAAAGTCGAAAACCACTCAGGAAGCTCCTCAAGATTGACACATTTGATAGTTACCAAGGATTGCAATGTGTTTGAAGATCCTCGCAACCAGTGAGGCAAAGTGACCAGTTGCGGTAAAGCACAAAGACCAAGAAACTTTAATTTCAAACTGGGAATATTTTCGTCAAGTTCTTTTGACAATTCCAACTTAGGACAGCCGAAAATAACCAAACTCTCCAAGTTTGGAATGGCATGAAATGGCAAAGACTTTAGACTCCCACAAGATAAAATAATAAAACATTTAAGACTAGGAAGTTGTATCCCTTCAAATAATGACTTCAGGTTGTCGCAAGAATCCAAGTATAAAGTTTCTAAAGAAGTCCATTTTGCAATCTCAGGAAAACTAGATTGCTTAAAGGTTAAATACAGCTGCCGAAGGTTGATCAAGTTTTCTATGCCTTTGGGCAACGCTTCTAGGTTTTTGCAATGATGGAGTCGTAAAACTTGCAAATTTTGGAGTTTGCACACTGAATCTGGGAGTCTTGAAAGTTCTGTATTATGTTGAAGAATGAGACATCTTAAATGTTTCAACTTACCAATGGAGCTAGGCAAACTCTTGTATGCAGAAGAACTTATATTCAGAAACCGCAAGTATTTGCACCTGGACAACAATGAATTCAAGGAAGCTTCATTGTTGGCTCTATGAGGAAAAATAATGGTTCTTAGACCTATAGGAAAGGAAGCTTGGCCAAGCAAACTGTCTTCAGCAAATGACAAATGTTGGGTACTTTCAGATATATTTTGAGTGCGGGAATTCACGCGCTGAAACTCATCTTTTGAGACATATAGTGCAAGATCATGCACCAAATCATGTAACATGAACTTGCAAGTAGTACCATGGTCAACAAAATCTTGAAGAAAAGATCTCGAGCGCAGCTCATGCAAAATATGAGTGCAACCGTCTTCCAATGTTTTATTTTGCATTGATGATGGAAGGAAACCAAGTGCCTCCCAAAGGGCAGAAACATCAAAACTACTAAAAATAACATCCTTATCAAAAAAGGAGAAGCAAGAAAAACATCGTTTTAAATAAGAAGGTAATCGATCATAGCTTAATTTGAGTGCCGGCAAAATGTCACCATTATTTTGAGGTAAACTCCAAATCTCATTGTCTCTAACAAACTTCCACTCTTCTGCATCAACTTTTGAGAACAGTGAACATCCCAAAGTTCTCACTGCCAACGGAAGCCCTCGGCATTTCTTTGCAATTTCTTTCCCAATCAACAACAATTCTGGATACTTCTTCTCTTCTCCTTCTTGGAAAGCCCATTTGATGAACAGAGTCATGGAATCCACTTCAGAAAGACCTTTTAATGGGTAGGAGTACGAGGGTTTAGTGCCCACCATGGCAGCAATGTCATGGCTACGAGTAGTCACTAGGACTTTACTTCCTTTGGCACCTATTTGTATTAAACTCTTGAACTCAACCCATTTAACACGATCCTCATTCCACACGTCATCCAAGACAAGCAAGAACTTTTTACCATCAAGCATATTTCTCACATGATTTTTTAGCTGCTCCATCTCGAGGTCCTTATAGTTCTCTTGATTCAGGTTTGCAGCAGAGTTGAGGATCTTAATAAGCATTTTCTTGGGTTCAAATTCATCAGACACGCACACCCACATCTTCAACTCGAAAGACTCATCAATAATGTTATCATTGAAAACAGTCTTCGCAAGTGTGGTCTTTCCCAAGCCTCCAATTCCCGCAATGGAAATAACAGAGAGACTTCCACCATCATCGTCTTGCAACAAAAGTTCAATGATGTTTTTCTTATCCTGTTCCCTTCCTATCACATCAGAAGCATTTACGTGGGAATGGGTCAATTCCCTCCTATGCACGACACGCGTATCAACATCATTGGTTTGAAGGCCATAATTGTTTCTATCAGTTGCAATCTTGTTTAATCTCTTATTGATTTCTTTAATCTCATGTGCCATTTTAAGACGATATATGATAGGATTAGAACATGAGAAGAAACGGCGTACCTTCCTGGACAGGCTGCCCTGAGTTTTAACAACATGCTTTCGCAACGCTTCACACTCAAAGTCATCGACGATGTCTTCGGCGTTATAGAGCACGTGCTTGATCTGCGTGAGCCATTCACGCAACTGGTTGTTCTGGTGCTGCTTTTGCTCTGCATCCAACAGCACGGCTTTGATGAACGAGATAGTCTGTTTCATCTCGCGTAGATCATCATACACACCCATAGCCAGAGAAGCTTCTTCCATGGCACGGGAAGCAAGCTTCCCTATGAGCGACTCTGCCACGCTGAAGAGTACTGATTCAGCCATGGTTTTGGGGAAAGAACAGAGATCAGAGAGCACAGAGCAGAGAGCAGAGATAGGAATTATGGATTGATTTTACAAAGTGCAACGAAGGAACATGATGGTATAAAGTCAAGTCTAGTCAATGGCCACTGTTAAGACGGGCTTTATTCCTAGTCGTTGGCAGCAACTACCAAATAAATAAAAAATACTTTCCTTAACAATTATTTTTTTCACGGACAAGTTATTAGTTAAAGTTAATGAAAATTTTTAAAATATAAAAAAATTATTACATTAGGAGTGAAAGATAAAACACACTTTTTATAAATTTAAATAAATTTTAAACAGTAAATAAAAATTAATTAAAAAATCTTCAAAATATATCAGTAATATTTTTTTCATTTTTCTTTTTTCTAAACAGCTAACAAGTAAACTACAAATTAAGTGTAACATTTCTCCATTCATAAAGTATCTTGCAAAAAAACTACAAATTAACAATATGGTGATGTGTGAACACAAACTTGTTTATTTGGTGTTGTCTCATGTTGGATTGGATTTTCTTATGGCAGTAACTGTGTTGCCTCCACAATGCATTTTGCGCCAGGGATTGATGCTATGCGGATCAATCTCTACAATTTTTGTTGACAGCATTATCCATTAAAAAGATCATCGTATTTTGAGTACTGTTTCAAAGTAACTAACGTGTTTAGGAAATATGAATGAAAATACTCCAAAAAGATTCACTCGGTGGAAAAGAGAGTTATAGTTTGTGCTACAAGTGTAATTATTCACGGGAGTAGGTTGAATAAACTTTAAAAAAAATAAAAAATAAAATGAGTACGAATTTGTCAAAAAATAGACTATAAATTATCTCACGTAAAAAATAGTTTTATATTAGATAATTTAATAAAATTAACACGTTATATTAAAAATTATGTTAATTTATTATTGCATTTTTTATTGGATAAAATTTTATTAATTTAATTAAGATAGAGTTATTTATTTTATGAGGTAATTTAATTTTTTAAATAAGTTAAATTTAACTTTCACTTTCTAGGTTGGAGAACTTAAATGAGAGATTTCAAAAAATTTAGAGATACGTAATTTTATTTTAATTTCTAAAATTTTAATCATTTTATTTTTATTTAAATATTTATTAAAATTTATCCAAATTAAAATAAAGTATAGTCAATGGTTAACTTATAATTTTTGTAAAATATCTATAATAATTGCAGTTATACAGTAGTTTCATCGCAATTTTAACGGACGAGTTGCTTCTTGTCACCCAAAAGATATTTACTAATAATCTTTAATCATTGATTAAGGAGGAAAGAAACATGCATTGGGAAAAACTCATAATTTTATTTTTTTTGGAAAATAATGATGAACTTTCTTTTCTATAAAACTATGTTAAGTATATGAGGCCTTGCTTATCTCGAATAAATATTTTGATAAAAAAACAAAACACACTATAAAATATATTGAGAATGGATTCTTTCTATATAAATTGTGGGCTTTGCACCCTAAATAACACATTGTGTAGACTAATTGCTATTATTTTGCTCATAGTTTAACCCAATAGGAAATTTCCAATGTTTTTATGTACAATTCACCACTGTTTCAAATTAATAAAAGTGTTTAGAAATGATTAAATCAGATTTTGAGGCTACAACTAAAACCAAGTAAAATCCAAATTTTTAATAAAACTAAATATTTAGACTCACTTTATTTTTTAATCCAGATTTTTACTAGATCTCATTTAATAAAACTAGATTTCATTTATTAAAACTGGATAAAACAATAAGTCTCCTCTCTTCAATGTTAAGTTGTGCCACTACCACATAATTGGTTTCGCTTGAGGAACTCTATCCAATTACCAAAGCTCAATTATCACCCCGACGTTAGTCGTTAAATATAAATTTAAATATCACGCTCACGTTAGTAATTAGCCACAAGTTAGAATTGTGTAAACTTGTAAGCGACTGAGTTTCTCAAAGCATTAACAATACATGTTTTTCAAAGCCAAAGTAAGGCTGATCAACGTTCATGATTCAGAACACCACCTCAGATACTTGCTTTGAGAGCCCACAGAAGAAAATTTTTTCATATGGTTGTAGACTAAAAAGATGTAATATGAATCAGACCAAGCTGCATGATCAAATTATGCAAGACAGGTGAATTAAGAACATGAATAGCTAAGTAAATAATATGAATGATAAAAAGTTGAGGTACCTGCAACACACTTGAGGCAGATGTGATAACCTTTTTGTAATCCCTTGTTGCGAATGCACTTGCAATAATTGCCTGATAAGAGTCTCTTTCTATGGTCAATGTTGCTTGAATGTACTAAAAGGAACATACTCTTGAGTAAATAGAATCGTCTCAAGTGAAGATTGATGCATGAATGACAATAGATATCACAAACAAAGCATGAGGATGTATGCTGATGATTCTGAGGCAAATGATACGCTGAAGCACGTAGAAACTCCCTAAATGTAATCACATAGGAAACTGAAAAGGAATGGTGTTGGCATGCAAAGTAACTAATAAGTCTAGAATGTGACTTAGGTCCAATTTGATAAACATTGAAGAAGAAAATCAATATAATAAATAAATAAATAATTTCTCATAAATTAAAAGTAGCTTATATCCCTATGTTTTGGAGAAGTTAAATTATAGAACTTTCTTAAGAAAATAAAAAAGCATAAATTGATTTTCACTTATGGAGAAGAATTTGATTCATTTTACTACTTAATTGGCAACGAATGGTGTTGACATGCTAACTAACTAATAAATCTAGAATATGACTTAGGCCCAATTTGATAACCTAAGTTTTATTTGAAGAAGAAAATCAATATAAAAATAAATAAATTTTCTCATAAGTTAAACGTAGTTTATATCTTTATGTTTTGGAGAAGTTAAATTATAGAACTTGCTAAGAAAATAAAAAAGCATAAATTGTTGATTCACTTTACTATTTAATTGGCAACGAATGATGTGGGCATGTAATGTAACTAATAAATCTGGAAAGTGACTTAGTAGCCCTGCTTAGTTATTCTGCTAGTTACTTCTTCTATAAATGCGTATATTCATTTCCTTGGATGTTCATTTATGGTAAATCTTGAGCATTAGAGGTCATTTGATTTTTAGATTTAGTAAAATATTTGCGCTTAGAAGGTGAGCCTTGGCTTAACAGTAACATTTTTATCCTATTCAAATTTCGGAAAAAGCCTCTCTATTTGCAAAGATTAGGCTATATACATTTACCCACCCCAAACCTAACTAGGTTGGAGGCTGATGTACCAGTTCCTCCATATGTAGCAAAATATTTGTGCCTGAAAACAAATAGCAATTCTTCATCCCAACCATCTAGGTTGCAAAAGTTACGTTTTCATAAAGAATCATTTTCTTTCTTGTCCAGCAACAGCCAATCCATCAGCAAGCAAGAAGTTGCCATCCATATGTGTAAGCATATCTGAAATGCAGCCATTGTTGTTGATCCTTGTCTTGCTGCCAGGGATGCTGACTAGGTAACACAGAGTCAAGCTGTAACTTTAACTAATAACAGAACATGCAACCAAGGGAAGAAAACAAAGTTATAAATTTGTTTTTAAGGACATATCAACATATTTTTTTGTTTGGGAGTTATATTTAGGAGGAAAAGAGAAGGTTCAGTGGGAGTTATATTCAAGAACATATCAACATATTTACGTAAGAGAGATTGATCAAATTCAAGCAGCACTAGCAAAACAAGTTTTTGGAATCTCACAAAACAGTCCTTTCCTCCTGAAATTTATGAAAAATCAAAGGAAACGGTTCAGATTAAGATAAAAAAAGCTCCAAAAAATAAAGATCAAGCATAAAAGACGACATTAATGAATGAGAACTGTCAAATAAGTGTCTGAAATAAGTAGTGAGATTCTAGATCATCAATAACTCAAAAGAAATGCATAAATAACGTCAACAAAAAAATTGTTATAAGATAGACATTTGTTTAGGTAAAAGAACAATTTATTTCATTAAACTCCACGATATATGGACATCAAATGTCCACTAATATAATTTCACAAATAACTAAAATGAAAAACAAAAGAGAAACATGACTTCTCAATTTAAATATCAAGTCTGTGATGATACATAGAGAATAAAAAATGAATACAAAATATAATGAATAGGGTCAAGAAGTTTAAAGTTTGAATTATAACAACAAATAGAATGTACAGATCTAAACCCTAAATCCTAAACAATTATCATCTAATTCATCTCCATTAATTCACTGTGTTGTATTCAGATTTGATTCAAGACGTTTGAATTATAACAACAAATAAAATGTACAAATTGCTAATGCATCCTTTTCGCTTTTAACTTAAAGAATAGAAAAACAACTTTCCGTGTCAACAATTTTTTTTCTCCCTTTCATAGCATCATTGTTGTTGACTGAGAATGTGGGCAATCAAGTCAGGCCATAAATATAAACTCAATGAGTGATAATCCCATAACAAAAATGTCTCTGAGGTACACTTGCTCATTTAATGGAATTTATTAGAAACTAAGTGAGTGAAACTCATTAAATCACAAGTAAGAACCACGTAATTTTTGTAATTTTAATAAAATTTAACTACTAATAAAGCTTGTTTGAAAAGTGTGTTAAAAAGTACGCTTCATGTCCTAATCTTAAAAACATACTTAATTCTTGAAATTACAATCTCTAAGCAATATTTTATTCACAAAGAAGAGATTAAATATTCAACAAATTATATTTAGTCTAATAAACTTTATTAGTTTAAAGTTATAGTTAATTTAAATTAAAAATAATAAAAATATATAAAAATATTTGTTTTCTAATATATAACTATAGATAAATATTCACTAACAAATACAAAACCTTTCCGTATGGTATTCACAACTAAATTTTTGCTTCGCATTTTTAAACTATAACTCATAATGTGATTGTCCTAACCTTTTAAAAGATATATATTACACTGTATAAATTTAAATACTTCATTTGTTATCGATTAATTGAAAATTTACACATATAAATATTAAACCAATCTTAATTCTAATAAATATTATAAACTAATAATTATATGCTAAAATTAGTAGATTAATCCCTTAATTCTTAATTTTGTTTCAATTTAGTCTTTTATTTTTTATTTTCATTTTAGATTTAACTTATAAAAGTATTATTAATCTTTTATTTTTTTTATTAACTGTTAAAAAAATTATTATTAATCTTTTTTTCTCTTGAGAACTCTAGAAAAAGTTAGTATTTTTTGACAAATTTTTTGTCTAACTTATTTTATTTTTTTTCTCTTTTGTCTTCTTCCTTTTCTTACTATCTACCCCTCTATGACCTATTTTCCCATCCCTTGACTTGTTAATTTGAAGATTACAAAAGACAGACCTTTGTTTTGGAAATATTAAAGGATATCAAACATTCACTTAGGTATCTTAGTTTTGACCTTTAACTACCCTTTTTTATTTGTGTGGCATTTGAAATCAACTTTAAACTCAAAATGATGTATGGATTATATGATTTCAAAGACCTGTAGATCCTCTAAGCTATAAACCTTTAAATTCATTTCTTGCATTTCCTTGCAAATTTACCATCAATTTTCTTGTTGAAACAAAAATATAGGTGTGACATTTAAAATGTTGAGTTAGAGCTTGTTTGTTTTCTTTTTTTAAATAGATTTTTTAGTTTTTAAAATTAAAAAATAGAAAAACTTGTTTGTTAATATAAGTTTTAAAAATTATTTTTGAAAATTAATTTTTATTTTCAGTTTTTAAAACTGA